AGGGCGTTACTACCAGTAGCTAGAAGCTACTAGTAGCAAAGTGCATTGCTAGTAGTAGCTCCTCGTTCCTAGTAACAAGGGCATTACTACTAGCTCCAAGGAGTCAGCTGCTTGGCCTGGCCTTGTCAGACTGCGCCAACATTCTGCGGCATTTTGTCTTACGGACGTTACTTTTGTATTTCGTTGATAGTGTGTCTCTTTTGGCATTTCAAGCATCCGGAACTGCAGGAACCCAATACCCTTTTTTTTCCCAGACACCAGATCAGGTGACACCGATATGCTTTTCCCACATGACTGCACCGCAATTGTGGAACCAGCCACTTGGCCGTGGGTAGACGGACAGATACAATTCCAAACAATGTGTGTTTTTTGTATTATGGTCAGTTGTTTGTGCATGTTTGGCTTCAACTGTTGCATGCGCAACATCGCTGTGAGGCCAAATGTTCTCGCAACCCGCCTTTCACTCTTCAAGGCAGCTTTGTTGAAGCTCGCTCAGAGCTTTGTTTTGCAGCAGCTTCGCGGCTTCCGGAGACGGGTGGACAAAGCTTGATGCTGCAAGGTTCATAGGTGGCAGTTGAGATTTTGAATGATCAATTGTCCTAAGTGACACATTTCACACAAGCGATGTGGGGAAGTTGCTTCACATGGGCACCACCCGTTAGAGAACATTACATATACCTGGAATGCACGCATGTGTGCACACGTACACAGTCCAAGTCACACGTACAATGACTTGTTTGAACTCATTGTCATAGAAAGAGTTGGTTGATTTGATGAGGGGCTCCTTGGTTTGGCAACTGCCTGTATGTAATGTATATATTAGGAAAGCAAGCCGATAGGCTAGGCTGGGGTTGTCGATGGGCAAACGAATAGTATTAGGGAGTGTGGGGGGGTGGTTGCATAGAGGGCCAATCTGGTAGGGCGAACCCAGAGCCTGGTGGTGGAGAGCGAAAGAGTGCGTCCGAAAGGGAGTGAACATGTAGCATCATGAGGGGACAGGACACACGGATGAACTTACCCACAATGTCATTAACGCAGTCTCCCCTGGGCTGCATAACCGGCATCGCGAACGTTTACTTCGGAAGCCATACAGTTTTGTTATCTATCTTAAAAAAAACAAAAAACTTCAAAAACGCACCATTTGCAATTTCCCAAAAATAAAAGGCCCCCCCAAGCTAAAGCTTATTAAGTGGACTAATCCAGCAAGTATCTTGCCGCTTGCACGAAGCGTCTCAGCACCTTCGGCGCGGGCGGAGTTTGAGGACGTGCTTGCATTCGGGTTCGTGGGTTCCATCATGAGACTCAAGCAGTACGGGATGCAATTTCTTGTGGTAAGGTATATATGTAGGTCATTGCGCGGGCCGGTACCGGCCCACCACACCTGATGCCAATGGGGACCCTTTTGTCGAACGTCGCAGCCGGACAATCTTTCTCCAGTGAGTCCAACGAAGGTTGCATTGAGAATCAGCCAGTTGCCCACCCAGAAGTTCTAGCAGCAAAGTGCGGTGCCAATTAACACTGGAGGGCAATTTAATTTAGGATTTTTCGTTTTGTTTTAGATGTTGTTTGTTTCTCGTGGCTTTTGTGGCATCCGTGCGTTTTGTGGCTTCCGTGGCTAGTGTGGCTTTTGGCTTTGGTGGCTTTCGTGGCTTCTGTGGCTTTTGGCTTTCTTGGCTTTCGTGGCTTTTGTGGCTTTTGGCTTTGGTGGCTTTCGTGGCTTCTGTGGCTTTTGGCTTTCGTGGCTTCCGTGGTTTCTGTGGCTTTTGTGGCGTTTGGCTTTCGTTGCTTTCGTGGCTTCTGGCTGTTTGCTACTAGTCCATCTTTGGAGGAATGTGAAATCCGAGGCACAGCTACCAGATCTAAGACGGTCTTGTTTTCATCCAGACGATGCCCTTGGTGGCTTTTGGCTTTTGGTGGCTTTTCGCTTTTGGTGGCTTTTGATGACTTTGGTTTTCTGTGCTTTTTTTTCCTTTTCGTGGCTTCTGTTGGCTTTTCGTGTCTTCATTCACTGATACGGTGTAATTATGCCTGGCTGTTTGCCAGCTACCAGCTCCCAAATCTGTCTACCTATCCATCTATATGTCTGTATCTATCTGTCAATATCTATCTTTCTTTCTATCTGTCTGTCTATCCATCTATATATCTATCTTTATTTCTTTCTTTATGTATTTCTTTCTTTCTGTCTTTCTTTCTTTTTTTCTTTCTCTTTGGCATATTTATCTTTTTGCTTTTGCTTTTCCATTTGTTTGCTTTGCAGAGAAGAAACCAAACAAGCAAGCAAGCAAACAAGCAAGCACGAGCTGCTCACCTTTGGATCTGGTGTGCTGCAGGGGGGGCTGCGCCCCCCCCAACCTCCCCGCACCACGAAATCTGCACTTCATCTCCGACACCTGCGCCGGCCACGAAATCAATATTGTGAGGTGAACTCCCCGGTGCAACAAATTTCCTAACTAAGCAAATATGCCTCCTGCGCTAGTTCTCTTTCTCTTTGCTGTTTCTCTGCTAACTGCACCAAACTGTTGTGATGGGTAGGAATTTCTCTGACACCTGTCTACCTATCCATCTATTTGTCTGTATCTATCTATCTATCTGTCTATCTGTCTATCTATCTCTCTATCTATCTATCTATCTATCTATCTACCTATCTATCTATCTATCTATCGATCTATCGATCTATCGATCTATCTGTCTATCTGTCTATTTGTTTGTCTATCGATCTATCTATTTTATTTTTTTTGCTCGGTTCTTTTGCTCCTGCCAAGTCAATGGCGCGACCACACCATCAGGCAAAAGTGGTCCTTTACAAGGGCCAAGGATCATTCGCCTTGTAGCCCTGCCTCATCCTCTACATCCCTCGCCTGGTGGTAGCCAAAGTCAACTCTCGCAACATGGCAACCACTGAGGACTCTCGACCCAACTCCTCCTTCAGCTGTCAGAGCTCTGCGGTCCAAAGTGCAGCTTCGTCTGTCCTTTGGCCTTCAGACAATGCTGGTGCACCCACTGCTGCACACGATCTATCTATTTGTCATTATCTGTCTATTTGTCTGTCTATCTATCTATCTATCT